CGAAGCCAACTCCCGACTCAATTCTGACATCGGGCTAAAACCGGCAGCAACTGTTCATTTTTCTCCAGCAGAGAGAGAGAGAGAGAGAGAGAGAGGGAGAGAGAGAGAGAGAGAGAGAGAGAGAGAGAGAGAGAGATAAAAATAAATGCTTTCCAGAAAAAGTGATTATCAAAAAAGCGCTTTTTGAAAAAGCGCTTATTCAAAAAGTGATTTTCGCCAAACAGCCACTAACACATTTCCCAGAAAATCTGCAGTTCACATGGATCAAACAGGTCAACAACCATATTTTTGCAAGGAAACGAAGACTGTGAAAAACACAAATCGCCAAGAACAGGTCAAGCAAGCTCCTGAAGAATTTCCAGAAACTCAGCACAATCACCGTGAATAAATCAACATGAATCGCAACAACGGTTCCAAAAAAACGTAAAGAATCTGCATGCAAAGCATTTTTTGCACCAAAATCGTGGACCCAAGCCCACAAAACTACGAACAATATAAACCAACATTCGGAATCAGAAGAAGGGGATATTCAAGTGAACGAATTCAGGAACCCTAAAAAGAGTTTCATCATCATCAAAAACGGCGCCTCCCTGAAAAAGGGTTCGTTACCATCATCATCATCTTCAGAAAGGGGGAGCGAAACAGAGTTTGTGAAGAACATCATCGACGTCAAGAAAACCACCGCGAAAAACTGGCGGCAACACCATCATCATCTATAAACGGACGAGAAGCGTCACTAATCGCTGTACACGGGTAACCCATCACGAGCCTCAGTTTCCATCATCGGCCAGTTCAAGTGGAAAAAGATCGAACGAACGCGTCGGCACCGGAAAAGAGGAAGATCTATCATCATCACCGACAAATCACCCAGAGCCACCAGGAAGCGGTAGCGGAAACCTTAGGGTTTCAACGCCGGTCAAGCGTTCCTCATCGTCCAAACATAACGGTTTCCAGCATTATTAATGGATGGTAAGTGTTTTCTGTGTTTCAGGTATAAACGGATGGGGAAGTAACAACAATGGTGTCCGTCACGGCGTCGTTACAAAGAAGAAGAAGAAAAACTTTCAAACGGAGAAAATCGAAGAAGAATCATAAAGGAACGGCGCATACGAAGAAGAGGAAAACTTCCATGGCAACAATGGCGTCGGCGGCGCTAGTTAGAAGAAAGGAGAAGATGAGGGTTATGAAACAAACCCTAGACCAGCCAGCTTAAATATCGCCCCCTCCCTCTGTATTTTTGCCATTTTATTTTTTTCTTTTTCATTTTTCTTTTTCTTTTTCAGTTATCTTTCATTTAGTTTTCGTATTTTGTTACTTTAATTATATTAGTAGTTAACTTATTTTAGTTATTTAGATAAAAACATTTTATAGTAAAAAAATTTAAAACCTTTTTTTTAAGACTTAAAACATTTTTCATAATTTAAACTTAAAACATTTTTCATAATTTAAACTTAAAACATTTTTCTTTGAAGACTTAACTCTTTTTCAAATAAAACAAAACTTAATTAATTTTCTAACTAATTTTTTTTTTCAAACGATTTGTTTGTCTTCCAAGATTAAACTCCTTTTTAGGAAAATCAAAGTTTCTGAATAAACCGCTAACCTCCTTTTAAAAACAAAAATGATTAATGTTCCCGTTAACTCTCTTCCGATATTCATATCTCTTGTTGTACATGGTCATTAATTTCACATTTTTGCCGTATTTTCATTCTCTATGGTTGTAAGTTTATGCGAGGCTATCGCCGCGTTTATATTCCGTCAGTTATTTTGCATTGTTTTTCATGGTTGTAATTTATACGAGTAATCATCGTGGTGCACTTTTTACGGCTTTTCTTATTTCCCCGTATTTTAGTTATCGTTGTTGTAATAATTTGTCATTTACATTATTTACCGTTAATTCCTTCCTCCGAAGGATTAGGTCTAATAGTTTGACCGCCGAGTCAATAGTCCTCTCCTTTGACACATTCAAAACCCCAATTTCCTAGGTGTCCCGCCGTGGACAAAAATACCCTTTACCCTAGCTTTAGGTCAAGGAGTCGTCGTACTCCGTTTTGGGGTTTTTCGCCGTGGAACATTTAGTCAACCCTAAATTTCAATTAACAAGTCCAACATAGAAGTAGGAGTCTCGATACTCCACGTAAGCGTGTCCTTAAGAAACACTTACTCCCCTTGAAACCTTGACCACAGTCAAGAAGCTTCTAGCCTCCCTTTCGAGGGGAACTATGATTACTCTGATTCCATTCCCTACCTCGGATACGTAGGCATAAGATGCGAATCTTGTCGAGTAAACTTAGTACTAACCTTTAGGTCTCTTAATCACTTTCTAATCCTTAGCACATATCCTTCAAGCAAATAATAAAGAAAATAGTAAATTATAAACAAAAGGTTCTTGTAGAGTACTACAAAAGGTTCTTGTAGATTACTACAAAAGTTTAGGGTGCTAGTACCTTTCCTAAGTTTAACCAACCCCTTACCTAGAGCTCTTCCCGCATTGTTTACGATGCAAAAATAGATTTTCCTTCATTTGACCTTTTCCTTCAGATAAATCAAAGTCGGTTGTGAATCAAAGATTTGCGATTCAAACTAATTAATAGTTTGATATCCTATTCTCACCGTAATAGGCAGTATTAAGGTTTTCTTATTTAGTATCGTTTTCATAAGTTATGTAATCGTGTGCCTAAGCTTTGTAATTTTTTGTCAAATGTTAAATTATGTTCATCTTGCATCAATGGAAGATCCAAAATGTTATCTAATAAAAAGTGATATGTAAATGTCTAAGTAGTATTACACGTAAGATATAAATAATACATAAAAATAATAATAGTGTCTAAATAGGTCCCCCGCGGGCTATGTGTGCTACTCGAAATATTCCAGTAAAAACCTTCAGTGGGAGACGATTTAAAAAAAAAAAAACAGTTAGCTTTCAACACATCATGGAACAATAATAAATTAATTAAAGTTAAACATAAAATATATACACCTATCTCTGCCATAATTGGTATGCCACATGGTTGGCATACTCAGTAAGTACCAACTGATCACTGGGTCCTCCGAGGAACGCTTCATTAATGTGCATGGACGGATCTATCAATGAGGTCGTGACCTCTGTGTCAGCAATAGTAGAAGAAACCAGATATGTGGTAGCCACCTCATCATCAACAAGAGCATCTTCCTGGACCACCTCATCTACAACAAAGGCATCTTCCTGGACCAACCCATCTGCAACAAGGATATCTGATTGGACCACCTCATCTGCCACCTCACCAACAACTTCAGCAGCAATATGTATCACATCTGTCTCGACCTCTGAGCCATGAATATCCTGAACTTGCACCTCCTAAGCATAAACAAACCTCAACATCATCTCCAGGTTGCTCGTTTGATCTCAATGCTCGGCGTTGGGTGCTACGGGATGCACAAAACTGCCCATACTCGGCCAAATGTTTTCGGTGTGAACTGTTTGGAACTACTCGTCCAGCCCATACCTGCGAAGACTTAGCTTCAGCAGTCATAAACCGGGTTGCCTCTCTATATGTGACCCTGCCTGTAATAATATCTTCCTTTCTCTTGTATTTCGTTGCAAAAACGAAAAGAAAAAAAAAGTTAAATATCCCCCATTTCATTGGAAATTTTGAAATTTTTGGAAAAATTCTTTTTTTATTATTATTGAAAATTCTGAAATTTCCAAAAAATAATGCATATAAAAGTACCGAAAATTCATAAATTTCAAGAAAAAATGTATTTAAAAATATCTGAAATTCGGTAATTTCATATACAAGTTCATTGGGTTTTTACGCAAAATTTGAAATTTTCGATGAAATACTTATTGATTTTAGAATTTTTATGAAAAAATTTGAAATTTCTAGTATCACTCAAGTTTTTGAAATTTCCACAAATGTTTGATAAATTTTGAAAATGAGTGGAAAGACTAATATTAACAATTCATTGAGTTTAGGGTGTCAAGTATAATCGGAGGAAAGTTAAATGCTTGTGTCTTTTAAAATTTCAAAACTGTCCTTGCTACTATTTACCAACTAAATTTATTTATTTTTTCAAAATTTTCACTCTTACTAACATATCAAAAACAAAATTTTTGGTTAGAATTTTTTCGCATTTTTAGAAATTCTATTATTTATACAAAAAATTTTAAAATTTCTAATAATAAGTAGCAAAAATTTTAAAATTTCAAGTAAAAAATATTCGAAATTTCAAAAATTTTAATAAAATATTATAAATTTTAAAAATTCCAATAATTTTCGGAATTTTTTCATAAATATGAAAATAAACTGTAAAATATTTTCGGAATTTTTTCATAAATATGAAAATAAATTTATTCAAAACAAAGGAAGTCAGATTCAAATAAAAGTTAAATACTTTATCTTTTATCGTCTCAAAGGCACTCGATCCCGGCCCAACAATCTATCTCTTAATAAATAAAAAAAATAAAGTTACAAGTTAAGAAATCTATTCAAGTTTTTTCAATTTACATACATATGCTACCAAAGAGAAAGAAATATCTGCAGCAGACGTCAGTGCAGATGCAAAAATTAAAAAAATAATCTAAAAGAACTGTAGCTTTAAAATAGTTTAATACTTATAAATGAAGAAATAAAACAAGCAATGAAAATGAAAATAACTCTTTTTAATTTTTAAAACATTTTTGTCAGAATTATTCTTACTTCACTTCTTATTGAGTTATCTTAAGATAGTAATGACAGGAATGTTCCTCCTGTCCTTATTTTGATTTCCAAAATATTTGTGATGAATAAAAAACCTTAGCTACAAGATTAGAGTCGTGAAATTTCCAAAGACAAAAATGCTAAATACAGACAAATACGGACAATGTATTATTGATTTGGCTCCACGTTTCACTTTATCTTATCAAATGATCAGGTTTTAGTAAAGCTAAATATACTCTAATCTGTACTCTCCTCAGTCCTCTCCCTTCTTCCACTCACTTTCTTTAGTTACAGAATCCACACCACACTAAATCGGTAACAATGATTGCACGCCACTTATGGCTACCGTCACTACTGTTGTTGCTGGTGTTTCCCCTGATTTGTGCAGCTGAAGAGGAGGATTCCACCAGAAATAGCATCATCTTCACCACACTTGGTAGAGCTTTCTATGCTTTTGATATCTATTCCCTCCCAATTCCCCTACACCACCAATCACCCAACAACAACCAAGAGTTACAACTCACTGACGGCCACTCCGTCAATTTTAACGGACACTTTCTTCCCAATCACACATCCATTAAACTCCCATCAGACCAAGACCAACCTCCTCTTCAACTCGTTTATGTCACTGAGAGAAACGGGTCTCCCACCATATACTTCGACGCCGTTTATGTCACGACGAAAAAAACAAGCACAAGAAGATCAGCTCTTGAATCTGATATCATAGATAGAATTCAACTTCCTTTGTTGCAAAATCACGTCACAGAAAATCAGAATCAAGTTTCAATCAAAGATAAACCCAGTGTAACTAACGATGGTGAATATTTAGTATATATCTCAACACATGAGAATCCTGGTGTGCCACGTGTCAGCTGGACCGCTGTTTATTCTACCCATCTCAAATCAGGTATCACCCGAAGACTCACTCCCTACGGTATCGCTGATTTCAGCCCCGCCGTTTCTCCCTCCGGTAAATGGACTGCAGTGGCTTCTTATGGCGCTCAAGGTTGGTCCGGTGAAGTACAGGATCTTACTACAGATATCTACGTTTTCCTGACTGTAGACGGAACTCAGCGACAAAAGGTGGTTGAGCATGGTGGCTGGCCGTGTTGGGTGGACGATCGAACCATTTACTTTCACCGAAGAGGCGTTGACAACTGGTGGAGTATTTACAGAGCGATACTCACCACTGATTCTTCAGACTCGGTGATAATTGAGCGAGTCACACCACCGGGTCTACACGTGTTCACACCAGCAACGTCTCCAGGAAACCATAAGTTCATCGCCGTTGCTACAAGAAGACCTGGCTCTAGTTTCCGTCACGTAGAGTTGTTCGACCTGGTTAACAGCGAGTTCAAGGAGCTAACCCGTTTCGTCTCGCCTCAAACTCACCACCTCAACCCGTTTATCTCACCCGATTCAACACGGGTCGGGTACCACAAGTGTAGGGGAATGGAAAGCAATACCAGTCCTCAACTTTTATTAGAGAATGTTCGGAGCCCCGTTCCAAATCTAACTCTTTTCCGGTTCATCGGTTCGTTTCCGGTTTTCTCACCCCGTGGAGACCGAATCGCTTACGCTGAGATGCCTGGCGTTTATGTCGTGAACCGGGACGGTTCGAACCCGAGGAAGGTTTCTAACGCGATGGCTTTCTCAACAGCCTGGGACCGGGTTCGACCCGGAGTAATCTACACAGCAGTTGGAGAAACCTTTGCATCAGAGAGCACGGAGGTTGATATCGTCTCCATCGACGTCGACCGGAATATCATCAAGAAATTGACCTTAGACGGAAAGAACAACGCCTTTCCGTCTCCTTCCCCGGATGGAAAATGGATCGTGTTCCGTTCAGGTCGTTCGGGTCATAAGAATCTCTACGTGATGAATGCTGTTGAGGGAGAGAAACAAGGGCTAAGAAGGTTAACGGAGGGTCCATGGACAGATACAATGTGCAACTGGTCACCTAACGGAGAATGGATCGCTTTTGCGTCGGATCGTCATGACCCGGGGAGCGGAAGCTTCGAGATTTATCTGATCCGCCCCGATGGAACCGGGTTGAGGAAACTGATTCATAGCGGGTCGGGTGGGAGGACGAACCACCCGTACTTTAGCCCCGATGGAAAGAGTCTTGTGTTTACGTCAGATTATGCGGGTATATCAGCTGAGCCAATTTCAAACCCGCATCATTATCAGCCGTATGGAGAAATATTCACCGTTAGATTGGATGGTTCGGGTGTGACGAGATTGACACATAATTCGTATGAAGATGGAACACCTGCCTGGTCACCCAAGTATATCAAGCCAGTGAATGTTGAGAGGCCCAAGGGTGGACCTTATTGCTCTTTTGATGACTGTCACTGGCTCAACAACATGCCAAAGTATGCAGGGCTAAATGCACAGTGTGGTTTGTAAATGTTATGCAGTTCCTATTCTATTCTAAGAATGTATGGTTATGTATACAAATAAATAAATTTTGGATATGGTTGTTGTTAATATGATTTTGGCTTTGTATTTTATGTTTAGTTTGCGGTTACTGTTTTTTTTTAGTAAATATAAAATATAAAACATTGAATACAACTCTTTTATAAAAAAACATGAAATTTATTTTTTAAAAAATCAATTATTTTAATTTTTAATTTTTAATGTATTGAATATAAGTAATTTCAAACAAAAATATTCTTTTATAAACTCTTAACGAGTGTCTCTCAAACACTCGTTAATATTTTTCTTGTCTTACAATAAATATATGAGTCCAACCAGATGTCATTAGAATTACGTTACGTCACTTTGAATTTATAATTTCTTTTATAATAATTTGAATTTAATTGAGTACCCGTGTCTTTATTCAATCAAATTCAATGCCTAATAAATTTTAAATGTTATTTTATTTTTAAAAAATTAAAATTTTAAAGTATTGACACCAACTAAAACGAAGAGCATCAATATCTAAAGAGACTGTGTTAGAATTCTTTTGATGTTTGGCTTTGTAGTTTCATTGTTTCATTTAAAAATGTTTTAATGTTTGATTTTGGAGTTTCATTGTTTCATTTGAAAATGTTCTTACAGTAAATAGCATTTTTCACTTTAAGTTTGATTAAAAACGCATATATATTATTAAATGGAGAGTGTATTTTGATATTTTGTGGGATTCATTTTAAAACTTTTGATGAGTTATATGGACTTTTTTTTATCACCACCCCTTGTTGGTTTCCATGAGGGAGAAGGATGACATTCTTAGGGTTAGAAATTTTTGTTTTAAGAGCACCTGACTGTTGGAAGACAACTATAAAGATTCGTTTAGAAACGTGTGGAAGGACGATCAAAACATAAGAACTAATTTGAAAAACTATAAGAATCAAATTGCATCTTCAAAGAAAATGAGTATCCCAAAGGTGCAACATAAAAAAAAACACCTTTTCGGGAGAATCAAAGGCATTCGAAGAGTAATCCAAGAGGCGAGGGGTTATGAGGGGGTGAGCACCCTTGAAAAGAAGCTGCAAATTGAGTTGTCGAAGATGCTCTATCAAGAAGAGCCCATGTGCTTTTAGAGGCCTTGAGCAACCTGGTTGTCAACGGGGACCGTAATACGTGTTACTACCACATCAAGTCGGTGCGGAGAGGAAGAAATAATCACATTCAAACGATAAAAAATGATTGAGGAGTTTAGATTGATGATCAAGAGCAGGTTCACGATTTGTTCAAGACCTTCTTTCATAATTTATACACATTGGCCACTGATGTTAGCCAATGGAACATGACTAGGTTTACCTATCCTATGTTTGATGCGACTGACATTGTTAGTTTACAGGATGGCATGATCTTTCACGAAGTCAAGAAGACAGTTTTCCAAATGGCCCTTAGAAAGCTCCTGGACCTGACGGATTCCCTGAGGGTTTCTTCCAAAAGTCTTGGAAGCTGATAGGAAGCAATGTTCATAGAGAAATTGACTAAATATGGAAGAATCCATAGAGTATTAAAGAAGTTAACAACACTAAAATATGACTTATTCCCAAGGTATCTAGTTCAACGAATGTTCAACAGTCCAGGCATATATCTTTATGTAATACTATATAAAAGATTTTGAGCAAAGTCATTCCTAACAGGTTGAAGAGTGTTATTGACGACATGATTGGGCTGTTCAAAACAGGATTTATTCCAGGGAGAAACATACAAGAAAACATTGTTGTTGCCTAAGAAATGCTGCATAGCATGAACAATAAGAAGGGCAAGCAATGGTATTTTGCGGTGAGGTGGACCTTGCCAAGGCCTATAACAACATTAATTGGAATTTTCTATTGCATTTTCTAATTGAGATTGGTTTCCTAGATAAGCTGATACAGGTGGTAATGGATTGCATTTCATCGGTAAATATGATCAGAAAATGTACCGGGCAGGGAACTACATATTTCAAATCCAAAAAAGGGCTTAGACAATGGGATCATTGTTGGCTCCTAATTTCGACGCATGGATGGAATTAAAAGTAGAAAATAGAGTTCTTGAAGAAATTTAATCATTTCGATGGAAGCCTTGTTTTGAAATGGGAGTCGAATGCGTCCTTTCGCCAGGAGAATCTGTGTTACGAACTTAGAGATATTTCTCAGCAGTTGGAAGACTCGATTCGACAGAGGTGTCACTGAGGGTATTTTGATGAGTTCATTTGAATTTAAATAAAAGAGCGAAAGTATGTTTTTAAAGGAGACATGTGGAGTGCTTCTAGGATTCGAATAAAAGAGCGAAAGTAAGTGACACTTGTCTTAATTTCATTTGCTAGTCATTAATGACAATTATTTTTTATTATTATAAATAGCAGGTCTTAGTGTTAGGATTTGGTGTGTTATTATGTACAAATTCTTCAGTATACTCCAAGTACCCATATGCTGAGAGAAACGAGTTTGTAAGAATGTACGTTTACGTAACACCAGTTTTTCATTTCAATGCAATTTAATAAATCTCTTTCTTTAAGAATTTATTCTTTCTTTATGCAAATTCTTATCTTCTTCATTTACCAGTACTTCGATTTTACTTATTGTCACCTAAATTCATTTACATTTGAAATAAGTTGTTTTATCATGGACCTTGTCGAAGTGTTCATAGTTTTTATAAACTTTATTTAAGATCAATTAGCACATGTCCTAGGATTTGTGTGGTCGATCCTGCAAGTAAAACATATCTTTCTTCGATTTGTAAGACCAGCGTTTGTTCACCAATTTTCACGGTGAACAATCATATGTCCCCATATCTCTTTATTTTCTACATGGACAAACTATCCCACATGATCAATGAAGCAGTGGTGAAAGGGGACTATAATGGTATAAAGTTTGGGCGCCAAGGGCCAGTTACATCACAACTAATGTTCCCCGACGATCTGCTTTTGTTTGGAAAAATGAATCTCAAAAAGATCAATTGTCACAAAATTTATTTCTAGTTTATGTCAAATTTCAGACTAAAGATTTAGTGTCGAGAATACTAGAATTATCTTCTCTAGAAACACTCTTGTTGTAAACAAAAAAGAAACCATGCACATGTTAGGCTTCAAGAAGACTTGTGACTTAGGGAAATATTTGGGTGTGACACTGACAAGTAAATCTCTAAAAAATAAAGATTGCAAATATCTCTTGGATAAAATCAAAACCAAGCTAACGAATTGGAAAGCTAAGAATTTGTCGCTAGCTGGAAGAGTTACGCTCACGAAAGCAATCATTGAGGCCATGCCAACCTACATAATGATATTGTGTGTCTTTATTAAAGAAATTATCAAGCAAATTCAAACATTGTTGTAGAGGTTTGTATGGGGAGACACAGAAGAAAAGAAACAAATTCATGTAGTTAACTAGAACACTATCACTACCTCCAAAGAAGTTGGAGGGTTAGGCTTGAAGAACATGCTGGTGTATAATAAAGCTTGCTTGTTGAAACTAGGGTGGAAATTCATGTGAGGGAAAAATAGCCTTTGGTGTAGATTATTGAGAGGAAAATATAGCAGAGGGAGTGATACTTCTAGATATGTTACAATCAAGAACAATGACTCATGTTTATGGAGAAATATTGGTAAAGATTGGAACAAGCTTAAGGGCCTCATCCATTGAGATGTGGGGAATGGTGAGACGATTAGTGCTTGGGAAGACTCGTGGATACCATCAGGGGGATCTTGTTGAGCATTTAAACAATAACCATATGAATTTGCAGAATAGTAGAGTTATTGATCTTGTGCAAGAAGATGGTGATTAGGATATAGAGCTGTTGAGAAAAATGTTTCCTCATCACATCTTAGAAGAGATCCAGGCTATAAACCCTCCCAAATTCACTAATGGTACGGATGTTTGTGTCTGCAGAGATTCTAGGGATGGTGAGTTCTCAATAAAAACACCTACCAAATGCTTAGCAACACTGATACTGACTTGGAGCAAGACACGACTTGGAAGAACATTTGGAGTTTAGCTAGACTAGAAAGGATCAGAATGTTCATTTGGTTTGTCAAATACAAGAGATTTATGACTAATCTCCTTCTTAGCTAGATGAATGTTAGGGATCCTTACTTCCCATAATGCATGGGGGAAGTTGAAGATGTGATTCATGCATTGTGTGATTGCGTTGATGCTAAAGCAGTTTGGATTACTTTGGTTAATGCATTAGACTGGATTGTTTTTTTAATGTAGGTCTACAAGAGTGGATTAATCTCAACCTGCATAACAACCTAGGACATGATACAATGGAAGATTGGTAGTCGGTGTGGCCAACAATCTACCATTCACTTTGATTTTGGAGGAACAAGAAGCTCCATGACGAGAACTATATCACACCCTCAATGATGGTGAATGATATCAGATTTTAAACAATGCAATATAACATGAGCATGAAGCTTCATCAGTGTTTCAATGCCAGTGGTTAAATCCTGCATCAAATCAGCTGGACTCCGCCTCATGAGGGTTGAAGAGTGATCAATGTTGATGGAGCTGCTAAGAAAGATGGGTAGGTTAGTTGTGGGGGACTTCTTAAGGATAATTCATGCATTTGGATTATAGGATTCTCCAATATCATTGTCCTTTAGAGTAGTTTGGTTGCTAAACTAAGGGGTGTTGTTGAGGGCCTCAGATTTTCTATGCAGAGTGACTACAAGAAAATCGAGCTTCAAATAAATAACAAGATAATGTCGAAAGTAGTGAATTCCATGAAACCAATCATCTAGGAGGGAAGTGGAATTCTACACCAAATTAATGAGTGTTTGAATGATAATTGGGAAGTCATCATAAAGCATGTGTATAGAGAGGGCAATCAATGCACAAGTGTTATGGCTAATATGAGCTTGCACCACGATCTTGGCCTACATATTTACCATGAGTATCCAGATGATATTACAGATCTTCTTGTTAGGGATAGCTTTGGGCTTGTAGTCCCCTATATTTCTGTTGTTT